CGGCCCGCGGGACGAGGTGACAAAGGCGCCCGGTGACAGCCCCCGGCGCCGGGAGGCTCCCGGAGCGGACAGCGGAGCCCGAGGCAGCCGCCGCAGCTCGACGGGACAGGGAGCCCCAGCCAGGCGCGCTCGGGAGGGAGCGCTGGCCTCTGCCGCGGGATGCCGGCCGGGCGGGCAGCCCCGCGCTCCCGCTCGGTGTCCGGAGCGCTCCGCTCCGCTCCCGGGCCGCGCGCCCGCAGTCACCAGCGCCGGGCTGGCAGCGGAGCCGGCTGATCAGCCTGCTGCCCGGCCTTCCACGCGTGTTCCGTAGTGCACGGACCCCGACATACCACACCACAGCTTAGCTTCTCAGCTGCCACGTACACATGATATGTAACTTCACCTGATCTTAAAACCATCTAATCTTGACTCCCTGCGGGTTTTCTGCCAACCTCTTTCACTGGTTAAGGACCCTGAAGGACTGAAGATGTGCGGTTATGAGTACCAGAGACTGGGAAATTTCCTCTTGCTGCACTGTAACTTAATTCATAACCTGTCTGCTGTAGATGGACAGCATATTTTATTTGTAGCAGCAGTGTTAGACTAATATGAAGCAAATTAGATAGCTGTAACAGAACAGAGGTCGAAAAGATACCTCCCTGTGAGAGATGAAATAGGATTTTGGTTCAGCCCAAAAGAGCCACGGGGTAAACAAAGGACAAGTGTTAATTCTAGTTTCTACTTGTTACCTATGGTTTAGGTATGGTTTATTTGATCTGCTCATTGTGCCTGTTAAGTGCCCTTGGGAACCAGTAAAGGAGCAATGTTGAATACATAACCAAAAAAGGAAAAAGGTGAAAGGTGCGGGGGAAAGAAGGGCGGTGGGGAGAGACTCTTAAGTCCCTGAGTACCCAACCAATGGGAAAGGGGTCTGGGACCCTTCCCCTCGCTGGCTGAGGAAGGGTATAAAAAGGTTGCTATTGAAACAAAGTGCTTTGTGGTATTATCTGAGGGAGGAGGGGAATGTGCCTGACTCCACCGATTCGTTCATATGAATATTTTTGCTTGGAAGACGTGTTCCCCTCTCAATTCTGTGGAAAAGTGAGTTACTTTTCAAAACCCTAAAGGAGAGAAAGAAGCCAGTAAAACCTCTTTACCATCTTGTGTCTTTCAGCAAGAATTTCATGGCTTTACATAGGTGTGCATTCATTTTTAAAATTTGAAACTTTTCATTGTTTTTGCTTTGTGTGGCTGATCATATTAAAAAATTATCTGTGCAAGGAAGCAGGGACAAAAGTCCACAACTCCAAAATTACAGAGAGAACCTCCTGGTTATGGGGTGATCAGGAGTTTGGAAAGTTAAACTTACCAGAAGGAAAAGAGGTACAGGTTGATGGGGTGCAGCCAGGTTAGGGATGGCTTGCAACCATCTTGTAGCACCTTTCCTCGGCATCCAGCCCCAGCATACTTTACTGGAAACATACATAAGGACTGCTGTACTTCAGTTGCTACATTCACTCACCACAGAATATAGCAAGCCATCCACCTGCATTTTGTCTTAGAAAAAAATACAAACATAGGCACATCTGCAGCAGATGTAGACCTATGATGATAATGCCAAATACTGACAAGTGAAAAAGTTACAAGAATTATTATTATGGTTAATTTACATAGTTTTCAATGTACTGTCAGGCCTCATTTCCAGAGGAAACCACCTCCTGCTTTTCTATCATGCAAATAAGGACTTAGGCAAGCTTATTGTATGCGTTCAGACTATGTATCTAGCAAAACTTATGACAAGCAAGTTTCTATAAATCACATTGAAGTAATAAAGGAAAAAAATATATACACTGCAGACACATCCAAGCATCAGTCAAATTATTGTCACCTAGGCCTTCTATGTCTCTGGGTAATGTTACTCAGTTTTTCACAATGTGCTAAATGGTTTCTGCTATTGGCTATTGAAAACAGCTGAAGGGAAAGAATCTTATTTGACAACTACTACCTTAATTAATAATAATCTGAATGTTTAGATGAATGCTTAGCTTTCAACACACACACACAAAGTAATGTTACAAAATAGAAAGTATCATCAGCAAGGAGGCAGTGAGGTGAGGTTTTCTTGAGCTTAGTAGTATTACTACTGCTTAGTACTTGTTTACTACTACTCTTCTAACTCCACCCTGCTCTCCAAGTGAACTTACAAAATTATAGTCCACATCCACTGGCTTTCCATTGTTAATTAGGTGGTTGAGCTTGACATAAAGGGAAATTAAATTTGTCAAGGAGGACCTTGCCCTCATGAGCTCTTGCTAATAATTGATTGCATTGTCACTCCACTGTTTTTCAGTAACTGCTGGATTACCTTATCCATAATTTTACCAAGCACTGCAGTGAGAGGGACAGTAATTACCAGCATTCTTTCTCACCTTTCTTGAAAACTGAGACAGTATTTGCCACTTGAAGTAGATTGGGACCTTTCCAGACTCCCAAAGTAGTTGAGTAGTATGGGAGACAGATCCTGAAATAACATCAGCCACTTCTTTCAGTACTCTGGGATGAATCTCATTGGGGCCCATAAATTTATGCACACCCAGCTGAAGAAGCCTCAGACAAGTTCAGAGTTAGCTGGGGAGTTCATTGTCCCCCTAGTTGCGGCCTTCTTGGAGAGACCTCTGTTCATCCACAGCCTATGACCGGTGTTGAAGACAGAAGTGAAGAAGGCATTAAATGCCTCTGCTCTGTCTACATCCCTATTTGTGAGGTAACTGACTGTCATGGTCAAACTCACCAGGAAGTGAGTTTCTAGAAAAGTTGTGGTCAAACCAATCAGTGGCCAAATTTAAAATTAGCACTTGTTGTAGCCAGTAGGGATCTGAATACGCCTCTGAGAACACACAAGGGTTAAAAGCAGAAGATTCCTAGAAAACTTCCTCTTTTAGATCCAGTGGTGAGTGGAGTCTGACCTTTCCCCTGCCCAGCTGCGTCTGGGTTGGGGAGGGGGAGGCCATGCGGCCTGTGGGGAGGGAGGCCAGAGACCCTGAAAGGTGCAGGGGTAAAAGAGACTTAAAATGTTTAAGCAGCACCCCAGGAGAGAGTGATAGAGACTGTGCTGGCAGCACAGCCGGCCAGAAGTAAAAGAGGCGACAAGAAAAAGTGCCCGGCAACTATAAGAGTTCTAAACAGAGAGAAGCAAAAATTTTAACCCCTTCGTAAAATAATAGAAACCTTACAAATACTAATCCTCCTGAATCAAAATGAAAAGAAAGAGATAAAACATGACAAAATAAGCAAGTGTGAGAAAAGTTAGAAGAAGTAAGAAGAATCCTAAGTAGGAAAAAATGATAGAGTAGCCTTGAGCTAAACTCTTTCTTGTATAGCCATAAACAAACCCATGTTTTTCCTGTGACCCAAAGACTGTATTTAAGAAAAAGCAATACCTTCAAGTCAAAAGTGAAACAATAGCATGAACAGAGACATCTGAAGAAGGTGTAGATGCCCTCTGTCTCCGTGGAGAAGAACTACCCGTGGATTCTTTTCCTAGTTTCCATTACGAATGGGACACCAGCTCCAGCAGCAAGAATGACCCTGTGGTGGACTCAGGGAAAGCCAGTGAGGTTGTGGTGTCAAGCTGGCCCATGGAGCGCATCCAGTGTGTTCCCTTCCCTCTCCACCAGCTTTCCAGGCAGCAACCAGTGAGCCAGGGGTTGAGAAGGGCTGGAGGGGTCAGTCTGATTCCCATCAAGTAATGGACTAGTTATCTCTGATTTTCATTTTTATATGTTTGCTTCAGTTTCTTATATTTTAAGTGCTCTACATAGCTTAATCATAATGCTAGATGATAAGTATTTTAGTATTTTCTAAAATACTGCAAGTTTTCATGTCATTAGTTACCCAGCCTTGAACAACTCAAGCAATACAACTTAGTAAATTTTAGCAGCATGGTCTTCAAGCCTGTGTGTTGAAGTACCCTCAAGAAATTAGAATGTATACATGATCTAGCAATAAAAGTTTCACTTATTGGCAGAATTAGTCCAGGGAAGATATCACTGTCTTTGTTAGGGAGTATTCAGTTGAAGCCTTGATAAAAGCAGCAAAACGACCAACCAGCTCATCTATCCATATCTCCCATGAAATTCAGATGCCTGAACATAGGACAGGGAAGTTTAATTGACTGTTCTTTTTGAATCCCAGTCTAATTCTGGTTGCATTCCTTTAGAAAAGCCTCTTTTCTGGTTACATACTATGCTCCTGAGCCACAAGAATATTCAGGGGTAAGGAGGTATTCCTTCTTTGCAACAAAGAGCTGCAAAAATGTTCCATATGAAAAGTACATTAAAAGGGTAATAATAGACATGCTTTTTCTCTGTAACTATTTGCTCTGCAGCAAGGTAATTTATTAACTACATTTCAAAGACAACTCAACCTGGTTATTTCCAAATGACCTGCAAGTCAAGGATGATGCCATGTGCAATAAATGCTCCCTTTCCCATATAAGCACATTAATATCCTTTCCCAAAACAGGACACTCAACACTACATCTCCTCCAATACAATGCACAATTAACTATTTTAAGTATTCCAGGTTATTACATTACATCTTAATACTTAAAAATACTAGATTTTGGAGCATAAGAAAATGCACTGCTGGAAAGATAACTACATTTTCATATAAATAAATTACTTTTTAACTTGTAGAACAAAAGTATGTATGCTTGGCACTGCTGTAAAGCATTTCAAACATTCACCAGCCCAAGAGACCATTACAAACTCTTACCTGGAACTTTTTTCTTATTTTATTCAAGCTGCAGCCTACTTCAAAAGAAAAAGAAACAAAGCTTTATATTAATACTGTAATTAAATAAAATCAGAAAATTAACAACAGGCTCTACACTGGTAATAACAGTATCTTTTTCTAGCTCCTCTACAACTTAGTTATGTCAATATTGAATAACTTGCATAATGTAAAAAAATCTTATTAAATGGGAAAAAACAAACTATTAAACCATTACAAACTCTTACCTGTAACTTTTTTCTTATTTTATTCAAGCTGCAGCCTACTTCAAAAGAAAAAGAAATAAAGCTTTATATTAATACTGTAATTAAATAAAATCAGAAAATTAACAACACGCTCTACACTGGTAATAACAGTACCTTTTTCTAGCTCTACAACTTAGTTATGTCAATATTGAAGAACTTGCATAATGTAAAAAAAATCTTATTAAATGGGAAAAAATAAACTATTCTTTTTCAGAGCAAAAACTAACATTCACAAAGAACAGATATGTCTGGCAAGTTTGTCACCTGAACAAATATTAGCTTTCAATGCAGAGGTAGGAAATCCAGTGGAGCTTAAAATACAACTCATTGGTCATGCAAGCCTTCCAAATTTCATTTTACTAATCTTCTTAGACATCAAGATCTTAAATGGAATTTGTGTTTTCATCTTTTCATTCCATTTTGATTTGTGTAGAGAATTATCTCACATTTGTTTCCACAACTTCACTTGGAAGAAAACATGAATAGTAAACATTGTAATGCATCAAATTGCTGTGAGATACAGATATATAGAACAAATTGGTCCCTACCTTTAAAGATCATCTAGTCGAATACCTTGCAATAAGCAGAGTACTCCTTCAACTAGATCAGGTTGTTCAGAGCCTCATCCAACCTGACATTGAATGCTTACAGGAATGAAGCAATTACCAATTCTGGGCAACCTGTTCCAACATTGCACTAGCCCCACTGTAAATAACTTCCATGTCTAGTTTACGTCTACCCTTTACCTTTTAACCATTATCCCTTGTCCTATCACAACAGGGCCTACTAAAAAGTCTGTCCCCATCTTTCTTATCAGCTCCCTGCAATTGCCGAAAAAAAGCCACAACAATGTGCCCCTGGAGCCATCTCTTCCCCAGGCTGAGTAACCCCAATTCTCTCAGCCTGTCCTCATACATGAGGTGCTAGAGTTCCCTGATCATCTTCATGGCCCCCTCTGGACCACCCCAACAATTCCATGTCCTTCCTGTGCTGGGCCCCAGAGCTGCTGCAGCCCTGCAGGTGGGGTCTCAGCAGAGCAGAGCAGAGGGGCAGAATCCCCTCCCTGGCCCTGCTGCCCACCCTGCTCTGGATGCAGCCCAGCACACGTGTGGCTCTCTGGGCTGGGAGTGCCCATGGCTGGCTCATGTCCAGCCTCTCAGCCACCAGCACCCCCAGGTCCTTCTGGGCAGGGCTGCTGTGATCTGTCCATCCCCAGCCTGTGCTGGTGCCAGGGCTGCTCTGACCCATGGGCAGCACCTTGCACTTGATCTTGCTGAACCTCATGAGAATCACATGGACCCCTTCCCAAGTCTGTCCAGACCCTTTGAATGGCATCCCACCTTTCAGGTGTATCAGCTGCACCACTTCACTCGGTGTCATCTTCAACCTGCTGAGGATCCCACTGTCCATGTGACTGGTGAAGATATTGAATAGTACTGGTTCCAATATAGATTCCTGAGGGACACTGCTGACGTATCTCTCATCTCCAACTGGACATTGAGCCCTTGACCATTACCCTCTAGATGCAAACAACCAACCAAATTCTCATCCACTTAAGAGTCCAACCATCAAATCCATCTCTCTCTACTTTAGATACAACTATGTGTGAGTATAATGTGTAATCAGAAGAGGCTTTTCTAAATAAATGCAACCAGACTTAAGACTGGGATACAAAAAGAATAGTGAATCTAACATTTTCCTATGCTTCTGCTAGCCACACATCCAACTTTAAAGCACTGAAATGGATACGTACTATAGAAATGAATACTGTAAGAACGAAGAGTATTTTATGTCAAGGTTAGTGGTTTTCAAGCCATTAAAAAAAAAACAAACTATGCTGCCAAGAGAAATGCGCTCCAACTCCAAGCAATACTGGTTCACAGAATAAGGAGGCTCCAAGATAAGCCTCCCCACCATCCCCACTCCCAAAAATGAATTCTGTGTGAAATCTAAGTGATATTGTCTGATTTAGTCACGCAGTTAAAAGAAGTACACTAATTTCCTAAAAGATAGAAGCTTTAGGTCTATTAACACAAACAAAATAAAATATAGTTAAGTAAGCAGCAGGAAACTAGAAGTATAAAGTTTGCTCCTCATCATTACCTGTTACCATACTACGTATTCAAAACCAGTAACAGTAATAGTCAGGAACATACATTGTTCACATTGCAGTTTAAGGGCAGACCTAACACAGCACTCCAGGCTTTTCAGTCACAATTGTGAAGAATTTTAGGTAGAACTTGCAAATTGTTCCAGCTATCTCTACCACTGCTATCTGCCTTTCAATGTCTTACATAAGCAAATTAATTTTGCAAATTCCTATTACATACTAAATTCCAGGTCTGGGGGAGAATTCAAGCCACAGGACAGGTTAAGAACAAAGTTTTACCCTAGTGTCATACTACATGTACTCAACAGCCTTTGGCACATCTTTTTCCAATGTATTCATATTGATACAGTCCTGCTTGAAGTTAAAATAAACCATTACCCTAGCATTCAAACAATAAACTCAAATTCTATTTACTGCACATTAAAACTGACAGAATTACAAAAATTGAGCTTTGATATTTAACTTGTATTTTCTCACTGATATTTTATTCATTGCATTAATTTAATTCAAATGAATTCCCCTTTAGAGGTATTACCTATTTTCTAGAAAATTGTAACTCATAAATACATATGCATCATTAAAAAAAGTAAACTAACTTTTTCAATATACCTAAGCACACAATTCTTGAGTCATTCTGCTGTGCGCTGTGAATTCATTAAAATCTTAAATGGAGATGAAGCAGGGAGAGAAAAAACAATGTAGTCAAGTGTTATCAAATGCATATGCTGTTTTCTTTGTATTTTCAAGGATGTGAGATCGGATATGAACTTTATTTAAAGACAGTGACACATTAAAATCACACAAACATCAATTATTTTCTGGTAAATAAAAACTGAAAATTGTCAACTGCTGACAGTACTGGACACATAACTGTAGTGGGTTGGTGCTGGTCACACACCAGGCAGCCAGCAAAGCCCCTCACTCACTCCTCTGCAGCTGGACTGGGGAGAGAAAATGTAACTAAGGATTCATGGGTTGGGATTAAGAGCAGCAGAGATCACTCATCAAATGCCATGATGAGCAAAACAGGCTCAACTAAGATATATTAATTACATTTATTATTAAACAAAATTAGAGCAGGACAATGAGAAGTAAAACAAACCCTAAAAACAACTTTCCCCTCACCCCTCCCTCCTTCCCAGCTCCACCTCCTCCCCAGTGGCACAGGGAGACAGGGAATGGGGGTTATGGTCAGTTCATGACCCGTGGCTTCTCCCACTGCTGAGGGAGAGGATTCCTTCCCCTGCTGCACTGTGGGCTCCCCTCCCATGGAGACAGATCTCCCTGAACTTCTGCAGAGTGAGCCCATCCCACAGGCAAGTCCTCCCCAGACTGCTGCAGCGTGGGTCACTCTTCCATGGGTGCAGTGCTCCAAGGACAGGCTGCTCCAGCCTGGGAGCAGGGCCCCTCTCTCCATGGGTCTCCCACGGGGTCACAGCCTCCTCCAGGCATCCACCCGCTCCAGCATGGGCTCCTCCATGGGCTGCAGGTGGATCCCTGCATTCCCCATGGATCTCCATGGGCTGCAGGGGAATCTCAGTGTTTGGAACTTCTCCTGCCCCTCCTTCTTCACTGACCTCGGTGTCCACAGGGTTGTTCTTCTCACATGTTCTCACTCTGCCCTTCTCTGGCCACAATTACAACTGCACAATAACTTTGTTATCACCATTTTTAGTTGGCCCAGTCTTGGCCAGCAGCATGTCCATCTTTGGAGCAACTAGGGATTGGTTCTGCCAAATGTGAAGGAAGCTTCTGGCAGCTTCTCACAGAAGCACCCCTGCTGCTACCAAAAATGAGGCCATGTAAATCCCCATGTAAATTGTAGGAAGTTATGTAACTCTGAAATAAAACTTTAAAACTAAATTGTTTGAAAAATATTGCATGGACAATCTTGAAAATGTCCTCTTTCTCTATCCTCAGTAATCAAGCCTATTCAGCAACATAGTTTAAAAGACAGAACTTCAACATAGAGAGGCTTATTTTGAAAGTCACTGTTATAAGAAGTTACCAGAAGCATGTCATTCAAGTTCACAATTATGACAATTTGTTGAGATGGGTGTCAGTAATTCCTATTTGTTTCAATAATCTCTGTGACACCATTACTTTTGTTCTCTTCTAGACATGTATCTCTTTTCTTAGTAAAAGTAGCAAACAGTGTATCCATCATTCCCAAAACTTCTAGTAGTTCTTCTTGATAGTCAATTTCTTTTCCAATAGCTTGCTGGAGTTTCAAGAACTGTTTATCAACTACTGATGACTGCCCAACCACAGGCTGATAAATGTCTGTAAAGAAAAATATCAGTTATGAATGCATAGATATATAAAAAGGCACAAATTACATTAGCTAGTTAGAGATACGTTTAAGAATTCTAGCAGAAGTCCAACATTCTGAAAAATAAGACAATCTTAATGTTGTCTGTTCTGAAGGCAGATGTTGTACATACTTAAAACAGCAGTATGCCAAACTAACAGAAACAGAAGTTTTTATGACCTCAAATACTATTTTTACCTCACGAAATAAGAGGAAGCTATTTGTATTATGTAGACACAGAAACATGAAGTATCAAAGGTACTCAGTGACCACAAAGAGCTTCCTGCCCCCTGTGCAAATCAAATCCGGACTGTGGTCAAAGTTATCTGAAAATGTCTCTTTTTTGGATCATTCTCTTGACACTAAGCCCACACATATTAACAGAGCCATTAAGGTTTGGTTTCTTAAAAATGTAGCACTTTTCAATCTTATTTGCAAGCTAGCTATATGGCTTTGAGAATCTTTTTTGTGTTGTCTTACCAGTGATCATATCGGCAACAGTCACCAGCATAGGAGTAAATCTAGGCTCAATCACACGCCTGCAAAATTAGAAGACATTCCTGTTTTACTGGTTTTGTCAACTGTACTCCACCACCAACAAGCAGCTTTCTCACACAGGCATACAGACAATTTTTTCTTGATAAGAGACATCACAGAACAGCAGTCAAAAAAACAAGTCAAAAAACCCCACATATGCGGTATTTACCCTCTTCCTTTCAGGAAGGCAGTGGGGCTGGAGGAGTGTCAAAAAGCGTCAAGTACATAAAACATAAATTTCATCAAGGAGACAGAAAATAACAGACTAAGGGCAGAGTGTCTGGCAAAGAAGTAGAATATCTCATCAGCAAAACCATTCTGTGCTAACAGGTAAACTGTTTCAAACCTATCCCAAAACCTTGGTATGAGAATGGAAAAAGCATGGGAGATTTCAGGAGTAGAAGTGCTCTACCAGTGATCCGCTGAAACGCTATGGCAAGTCATTAGGAAACAGAAGTGTCTAAATAGTCAGAGGGAGCCCATGTTATAATAATACCTTGCCACAAAGGTAAGCAGGAGATTAACTTGCTTCTCGTCTCGGCCTGCCAGTGCACTTCTCAGCGTTCCTCTGCGATGTAGCTCCTGCATGACTGCAACCGTGACTTCAGGGGTATGAAGCATGATGGGTGGCTGGACACATATAAGAAGAGTTTAGTACCAAAGCAACATCTTTTCACACAACACAGGGCTGGTGTCAGCAAAAGCAAAATGGAACCCAACTTAGACTCCTTTCTAGTTATACAGTAAAATAAAATTAGTATGACATACAGGGAAAATTAACATCAGGTGACAGCACAACACTCTGACAAGAAGAAAAACCAATGCCTTACCTCCAGCACTGCATCAAGAGCCTTGGAAGACTGAAAGCTCCTCAGCAGCTTATCGTATTTTCTCAAAACACGTTTTACAGGTTTACTGACACAGAAATCTTCCTAGAATTCAAAAAAAGAGTTCAGAGTAAGACAACTACACACATACTCACATAATGGATTAGACACATTACCATGAATAATTTTATATATTCCCTCCCTTCCCTTTCTGCAATTTAGCCTATTCCAAGAAACCAATTTTCAGAAATGTTTCAGCACATATTTTCTTACCACATCGTACCTGTTTTGGCATATAAGTTTTTCCTTTCACATAGGTTCTATATGCTGGTTGTCTCTTCTTTTGAGAGTTTTCATTCTTTTCTTCTGGTTTTCTGTGTTTAACATTTAGCACTCCATTGGTCATGCCTACAACTATGGTTTCGTCTTCAGGCTAGCACAGAGAAATCAGAGTTAGGACCCAGTGTTTTATTTCTGCTCTATCATGCATATATGTGCTCTATTATACACATTTTGATAGTTTTATGCTCCATGACAAGGCTCAAATCACAGTATCACAGATGACTTAATGCAGAAGAAACCTCTTTGAGGTTCCATGATTGAATACTTTGTTCAAAGCAGGGACAACTTCCAGGCTATGCTCATAAGCAACATCATACTACATAAGCAACTGACTACTGAATCAAGCTCAATTATTCATTAACACCCTTCTGTGACCAAAAGGTTTCATTTCTTCCAACGACTTACAACTACCTTTGGCTATTAGGTGCCATACAGCAGGCTTGAACAGAACCTATGAGACAGCAAACCTAGCACAGAACAGCAGGATTTTGAGAAACAACTGAAATTTGTTCAAAACACCAGTCCCTGCTATATGTAATTTCACTTCTATAACTAAGTGGGTATAAATTTCACCCAGAAAAATTGTGGATGCCCAATCCCTTGAAGCGTTCAAGGCCAGACTGGATGGGGCTTTGAGCAACCTGGTCCAGTAGTGTCCTTGCCCAGGGCAGGGGGGCTGAAACTAGATGACCTTTAATATCCCTTCCAACCCAAGCCATTCTATGATACAATAAAAGCCTACAGAATTATGACAGGCATAGATGAAGATCAGCTGATGATTGGGCTGTTTAAGGGCATCAGTTGAAGGTTATGAAGATTCAAGTGGAACAACTGAATGGGGAGCAATTCTTCACACAAGTATCAGAAATGTGGAACTCCTTATCAAGGAATCTAGGCAAGGTTTCAAGTTTAATCAAGCTCCAGGAGAGACTGAACAGGTTTCTGCAATAGTAATTCATTGAATTACACTGAAACTACTCTTTGATGAGCTCATCTCTCATCTGAAAAGGGAATTTGGAAGCATATCAACACACTTGCCCTGTGTTTAGTTTTCTATACACATTTCCTTATGGCTGGCTACAGCTGGAAGCAGGATCTGGAATTAGACCCACCTTTGATTTGGCTCAGTAAAGGCATTATAATGTTCTTGTATGACCATTTAAAATTAAAATGGTTTAATCAACAGGAAACAAGACTATGCTTCAAAAGATATATTGTACACACTCTAGAGATGCTAAACTGCAGGTATTGCATATTTTGCAGATGCCATAGGGTCTTAAAAGGCTATGGATTCTTCACTTCAAAAGAAAAAATATTCCAAATTTATTTTAGCTCAGCTCCCTAGGTAATACAGTAGGAAATGAAGACACTCCCCACACACACCTTCCCCGACATTCCAGCAGAGCAGGACAATAGTAAAGTAGCACAGGTAGTAAAGATCCCTCACAGGCCCACTGACATGTCCTTCAGAGGCTACATAAGGGAGTACTACATGACAACAGTATTGCTTAAAAACTGGTACTAGCCTCCAAATTTCTGGCCAGCAGATAGCATATCCACTGGAAATCAAGTGTTTCTGAGAGGTAAGAGTCTCTGCTGTCTGCTTCCAAGACATGCCTTGACAAACAAATTTGTTTACGCTCACAACCTTCGTCTTCCTCAGACCAGCCTGACACCAACTTTTAAAGGAAGTTCGTACCCTATTCTGCAATTCTCAACAAATTAACTACTTTTTTTTTTATTGCTTCCATGTGAAAGGACTCACAGCATTCCTGAAAGGCAAAAGGTGAGTACAATCATCTTAAAGTCAAAGGACTTCCCTTCTAAAATGAATACTTTCCCTAATATCATTCATAAACACAAGACATTGCTCTGATCTAGTCAGGTAACATGGTATTTGAATCTATTACATTCAAAACCTCTTAGAGTTTGTTACTCAGAAGAAACATATTCAAAAACAAACATATTCAGAAACAAACTCTACTTTGCATGTACAGCATTATTCTAGAAAACCCAATTGTTGTGAAAGCAACAATTATTTACTTTAGTGACTTAAAAGGTATCAGGAATTCCCTTCTAGTCTAGGAAGACTTCTAATGCACTTACTGACAACGCAAGACTGAGGATGGATGTTGCATAGTTGAAGCTGTGGACCACTTTGTAGGATGTAGTACTGTAAATCTTCACATGCCTACACAACAGAGCAAAGATAAAAAATTTGCTTTATTGTAGTCACTTTACAGGAACTTCATCACTCCTGCAACAGTAATGTTCTGTTAAGGTATCCACAAGTCAAGTCAGGAGGACTCTTACCTCAAAAAAGGTGAAAATGGGGCAAGAACAGAAGAATAAACTGAAGGCAGGTGTAGTGACTTGAATTCAAAAATGCATAATAGGAAAACACAAAGACAGCATCTCTTCAAATTTGTTCTTAAATTTTAAATACAAGATCTACTAGCAATATCTAGTAAATCCACAGATACTTTTATATCCAGCTGCCCCTTAAGGATTTGGTTGAAGCATGAAATATTTAACAAATTGGAAAACAAAATATTATCTTACAAGGACAAAATCTGATGTTATGTAACTGTAAAGCCTGTGCTAGCCTAGGAAGCACAGGTGGGAGAAGGAAAACAGATCCACTGTCATTTCAGATCACTTTGTATTTCTAATTTCTCAGGCACAAGACACCAACTACCAGTACTCATCAACTGAAACCAAACAAAAAAGCAAAGAGGTGATGTTCACAAGCACTCTTGGATACAAGAAGCAACAGCAGAGAGACACAAAATTCAGGCTTTTAAAAAGCAAATACTAATATTCTTTTAGATATTTGAACTGAATTAAAGTTAAGAATAGCTAACTTCCAAAGACTGGAAAGGTACTTTAGAGATTTTAAAAACCAAACACTTATTTAGACGTTGCCCATATGCATTTCCAAAATGGGACAGACAATCCTTATTGATATTCACATTATTAAAAGGAAAAGGTTAAGTTGTATCATAGAATCATAGTACAGTTTGAGTTGGAAGGAACCTTTTAAAGCCCATTAAAGTCCCTGCAAAAGCAAGGATGGCTTTGCAGCAGGTACCTTGGTCCCAAAATGTGTTCTCAAATAAAGCCCAAAATCCACACAGGTTAACAGTGATTTGAAATAATACCTTCCAATGAAAAAAAATCCTAAAGAACACGACCAAAAAGAAGCCACAAAATATACCAACCTATCAAGGGATCCTGACAATAATCTTTGTCCAGAGCTGTTCAGGCACAAACAAGTCACAGTTTTATGGTGATTTTTAAGTGAAACTAGTAACTGTCCACCTTTTAGTACATCCCAAACTTTGACATATCGACCTCCTGTGAAGAGAAAGCACACAGCACAAAACAGTCTTACATACGCACATATTTATGTTTCTCTGAAAGAAGTTTTCACAGAGTGATGCATATCTCCTCCACACGTACCTTTACCTCCTAACAGTTTTCTGTACTTACTCACCATCCTGTTCTATTCTAACTCCTGGCACAAGTCTGCTCTTTTTTCAGGCCATTCCAAATGGACCTGAATGATTTGCCCATTCTCCAACCATACTCATTACCAAAAAAAAAAAAAAAATCTTTAAACTATGGGGTTACAGTACCTCTGATGGAATAGCAACAGGAGACTAAAAAAGCTTGTCAACATGTTAAGAAATACACAGTCCCATCTTTTCAAAACCTAAGTATGTTAATTCCTTCACTTTAGAAGTGGGCCTGCATTTTGTTATTATAAATTACTTTGGGGCAGGGGAGAAGGGGAAACTACAAGAATATCAAAACAAAGACAAAAAGGAAAGACCCCTACTTGCACCTGCCTCATGAACACAGATTCCTACAGAAGATACTTGAGAAATCCAATTATTACATCACTTACCACTTCATTATCAAACTAAAACAGCACACAAAAAGCAAGTAGCTGAAGCATTCCTCAAAGGAAGACCACAAAAAAGACATTTGATCTATCTGACTCTATAGAATTACCTGCAGATACCAGAAGTCCACCAGACGGAAAGAGAAGCACACTCTCCACAGGATGGCCGTGTTCTATCGTCATGACACTGCTCTTTGTTCGTGCATCAAACAGTTTCACAGTGTGATCATAGGAACCTGCAAACACCAGCATCAATCAGTTTCATAATTTCAACTAGTTCAGGAACTAAAACAGCTGTGTCCTATCATCTAAAGGAGTTCCTGGCTAATAGCAATAGTTTTAAATCATACATGTAAAAACACCTTGTGAGTTACCTTGGTTAGTTCACAGCCTTGGGGCAGCAAATTTTCTAATTCCAGCCCTAGCTACATATACGTCTGTAAAAGTAATTTGTTTTCATTTCATTTCACTTCCATTAATCAAGTGTATTTATAATAACAAATATCAAGGAACCTGATGAAACCTAGCTTCTTGTGCCCCATGAAAAAAAGGAATACTAGGTTTTTTTCACAGTTTTCCACAGACTGATAAAAAGCTACTGCTAGGAAAACCAAAAGCAACTGGTTCCAAGTAACTCCACATGATCTCACACTTTTGAGTCTGCCAGTTATGGGCTGTACAGACTAGTGTCCTGCTCCAGAAACTTGGTACAACATTTCAGCCACTCCCAGGCAAAGGATACATTCACAGTATTTTCTTTCACAGGTTCTGTTAACCCTAATAGACTAAACCATAAAGATGCTAAAACTCAAGTTCCTGCAGTTTCCCCTAGAACATCAGTGTCAAGCTTAAAAAGCAAGCAAAAAAAGGAAACAAAGTAGGCATTCCACAGGCAGACTGATCCTTCATGACTAAAATACAATAAATATGACCCTACTGTATCAAAAACTATCTTTCAGTATTTTTCTTCAATTTAATCCAAAAGAAGTGCAAATAAAAAATGAAACCTGTTATGAAGACATCTGCATTCACTTTACTTGCACAGCCGCATCTCACATAGTCGGTATGTTCACTGTAAGAGATGATTTCTGTGGCACTCGGAATATCCCACAACTTTGATGAATAATCATCACCACCGGAAAATACTCGGTATTTATCAGACAGGAATCCCACCAGATGAACTGGCCTAAAAAACAGAGTCCACAACACCCAAAGTTAAAATATATTCATGTTTCAAGAAGAGTTAGTTTGTATGAAGAGTTTATTAAAGCACTCTAACCTAAAAGTGCGCTGTTTAATATCAGAACTTACAAAGCCTCACTTTATAACAGCAAATTTCAAGTATGGCTGCTTTGAACAATCTTCTTGCCCTTTAAGATCACTACTGAAGTCTTTATTATCACTGCAATATCCCAAGAGGCGCTGGCAGAACACAGAGGTGTGCAAATGCAGGTGTGCACAGGTATGCAGTTAACTTAGCCATCAGAACACCCAATTTGCAACCAGCCTCAAACAGAAACACTCTCAAAGTCAGTCTGGGCATTTCCCACTGAAAGGGGGATTCTTCTTGTTCTACGTAGATAAAACACAAATCAGTTTTTCATAGCACAGAAGTCTGTTGAAGCACTACCACTGTCTTTTCCTCACTGATACATCAGAATTCCTAACATTTTCCTCATCCCACACTAACATTATCCACTTTTTCGGTTTCGTTTTTGGAGCCTTTTAAGGAATTCCTGCTTTTCCTGGCAGGAGAACCTTAATTGGTTTTTTTGGACACATCTTAGAACTCTTTTCCTATCAGCATCAAATAAAACATGCTTATCAATGCAAGGTACTCACAAGACTGTATCAACACAGCACATTAAGAAACGCCTATGTGAAAGAGTATTTACTTTTCTGCATACCTGATTAATATTTAAGATTTTTTTAAAAAACTCACTCCCATTTTAAATTTCACTTAAATCTACTTTTCAGTAAGATCTACACGAGACAGTCGAGAGCAATGTAACTCGGTTCTACTCAGACTGTCAGCAGCATGTGAAGCAGACACACGACTACAACTTAACGTAAATACTGAATATTGCTGAGGCACGTGAACGGGCTGCCCAGAGAAGATGGGAACGGCCCTTCCCTGGCGGTGTTCAAGGCTAGGCTGGACGGGGCTCTCAGCAACCCGGGCTAGCAGGCAGGTGTTTCACGGGCGAACAGAACAAAGCGGCTCGGCCTTACTTGGCGTGCCCCTCGAACTGCCGCAGCGGCGCCTTGCCGCCGATGTCGAACAGGGAGACGCTGCCGTCCTCGCAGCCGGCGGCCAGCAGGCGCCCGTCGTCCCGGTAGGTGGCACAGTACGCCGCGGCGCGGAAGCGCGAGAAGGTCTTGATGGGCTCCTGCGAGTAGCGGCCGTAGACGTGGACCTGCCGAGAGAGGAGGGCACTGCAGCTCCTGCTGGCAGCGCCAGCCGGGGAACAACAGCGCGAGCCCCAGGAGAGCCACTCACCCTCGAGGATGCGGTGACAGCGTAGTTATACGGCGGGACCGGGGAGAAGTCAATTTTATTCACTGCGCCGAATTCCTTTATCTGAACAGGTGTCTAAAAGAGTGGTGATAAAGATTGTTAAATACACGCAAGCACACCGACAAGTATGAAAGCAGCAAAATAAAAGCTCTTTAAATTATTTCCCAATTCACGATTAAAACTTACTAATTAATTATGCGTTCTGAGCTTAAAAGCTAACTCGTACGTGTTTAAAAAAAATTAATTGTCTGAAAGTAGTAAAAGCAGGCATTCTGGGGCGGTAACCGCGACTGCTGGGCCGCCTCCTCCTACCTTGTATCCCCGCCAGTACAGCGTGTCCTGCGTGATCCTCTCCCCGAGCCTGGGGCACGCCTGCACCACCACTGGCTTGTAGGCGGCCATGGCGCGGGCCGGGCCGGGCCGGGCTCGGCGGGAGAGGCTCGGGAAGCGCCGGCGGCCGCGGGACACGCGGGACGGGGCCCTGCGCTCACGGGGCCCTGCGCTCACGGGCTGCCTCCAGGGACCGGGGACGCCTCCGGACGTGCCAGGAGCAGCGCGACGCGCGGCCCCGCCCCAGACTCCCCGCGGTACTGTGAGCAAGCCACGGATATTCTGGGGTTGCCTTTATCTGTTTAAAGGGAATTTGTTGTGGGTTGTTGTTTTGTTTGTTTTTTTGTTTTGTTGGGTTTTTTTGTGTGTGTGTTTGTTTTTTTGTTTTTGTGGTTTTTTGTTTGGTTTGTTTTTTTGTTTGGTTTTTGTTGTTTTTTTTTTTTTTTGGGGGCTTTTTTTTTTTTTTTGGGGGCTGGTGGTTTTTTTTTTGGGGGCTGGTGGTTTTTTTTTTGGGGGCTGGTGGTTTTTTTTTTGGGGGCTGGTGGTTTTTTTTTTGGGGGCTGGGGGTTTTTTTGTTTGTTTGGGGGCTTTTTTTTTTTTTTTCCCCTACGTATGTGGTAGAAGCAGTTTATTTTACTCAGGTTGCAAAAGAAAAAAGGGAGCCTAAAGTCGCTTTGACTTTTCCCTCAAGTCTTATGTTTCTGGGAAATAAAGTCGTATTGTAGCTTGTTCTTGGCTTGGTATAAATGTGGTTGTTGTGTGGGGTTTTTTGTTGCAACTAGGCAAATATTCTGAAGCATCATTGCACGTGGGTGAAACTCCTACTGTCTTAATAGTGGAGTTTGGTTTAAACATCCAGGTGCTGAAACACAAATGAAGGTTTTGGTTACTAACTTGTGACAGCAACAAGATTGATGTTTTACCAGAGTTTTGACTGATAAAACTAAATGCCGTAAGCATAAATAAAGTTTGATGTCTTTTTATGCATTGTTTTTCTAGAATGCTCTTAATCAGTGTTGTGTCTGTTCAGTTGCAGGTTGTGCAGAAAGTTTGTCTGGGCTGGCCAGAGTTGCTCCTGGCTGCAAACAATGAATCATTCTGCATGAAACCTGCAGGGGACTGAGATCATGGCATCTTCAGCAAACGTGGATGTCGGGGCCCAGCTGATTGTGGAAGAGTGTAGCAGCAGCTACAGCCTTCCACCCATGCCTGACATTAAAGTGGAGCATCAGCTCGACACCAGCACAGAGGAGGGCCCAGCTCAGAGCGTCACCATGGGGATGAAATTCATTTTGCCCAATAGATTTGACATGAATGTCTGCTCACGATTTGTGAAGTCTTTGAATGAGGAGGACAGTAAAAATATTCAAGATCAAGTCAACTCTGACCTTGAAGTCGCATCTGTCTTATTTAAAGGTTGAATTTATGGTACAAAATATTATCTGTGTACTGTGTCATCCTGTTAACTTACTGTGTTTTCTGAAAAAAAGAGCTTCTGTGTTATATGTGTATTGGTCAGTTTTCTAAGATGTGTTCCTGTGAAGCTTTTATTATATGCTTAATTATGAATATAAAATTTTTTCCAATATTAATTTTATGCTACATTTTGAATATTTTTATCAGCTGAAAAATCAGGGGCACAAAAATGGCTTCAGCTAGTAAGAGCTGATGCTAATTAGGAAAACAAGCTGCTTCTGTGTGGCATGTCCTACAGCAGTATGCTTCTTTGCAAAGCACCACTGAAAGCACTTCGTGAACATTTCAGTAGCTGTCAGCAGCACGTTCTGCCTTTTCATGAGGGTGATGAAGGATGGCACAGGCCACAACTGTTTTGTCTCTGTGGCTGCACAGAGCCTCTGCTCCTAGCCATGGGCTTGCCACTGTAGCTTCACTGCTGCTCGAAGGCAAATGCTGCTCCAGGGCTGGATCCCTGCAGCTGATCCTGCCACTGCTGGGCAGCTTCATCAGAATTGATCCATGCTTTTTCACAGCTAGGGGTATTGATGCAGAGAAAAATTAGGACTGCCATCTACTTCCCCTTAACAGCTGTGGTTTCTAGCACTTGCTGTCATATTTCTCAGACCCTTAGTGGTGTCTCTTTTCCTGAACTCCACATGACCTATTTCCTGTAACAAATGCACACACAGAACTCCTCTGAGTTCTGATGGTTTCACTGACTTGTGTTGTTTGGCTGCAGTTCACCCACTGTAGTTTTCAAACTTTTTGATTCTGCCCTAGGTGCTCACTAGCAGAGCTGCAGGTCTGAGTAGCAGATTTACACCCATCAGCATTAAGGTAGTTTTTCTTAGGTAACATTCTTAAGTCCCTTAGAAGTAGTCCTGCAAATCCAGGGACCACAGGGCAAAATCTGTGGTAGGATAATTCAGTACAGTCAGTTGTAGCTGTTTGATTGGCAAACAAAATGCAATTTTGCTGCCTGTTATACTCTGCTTCTTTTAATTAGTCTCCCTGAATTTGTGCTTGCATTTATGATCACAGAGTTCTCTATGGTGTTAATTAGCTTCTAGTCATTAATTACTGGTGTCCAATCAATTAAGCCAATATGGAGTTTAATCCTTCGATATCTCTTTTAAGTATTTATTCTCAAAACCAAAAACTACTTTTGATTAGAAGCCCAGACAACATATAAATATGTTCTGTAATAAAATGCCATTAGCTTCTAGGAGAAGGCAAGAAAAGTTAGTATGAAGGAACACATCAGAAGTGATGTCCTGGTGTTGCATTTTATCTAAGTTAGTGTGGAACCTGCCTTCCTGCTGGATGAGTATTCATCAGGCATTCATAATGGTGTTAAAATTTCATTCAGGAGTGGGAGGAGCCCTGGTGAAGGAAGTTAATGAAGGTTGTCTCCACTCGTGCAGTGGACTGGTTAGGGAGCAGGCAAAGGCTAAGCAGGTACCTGAGTGCATGTCTGACCAGAGCTGCAGCATGTTACTGCCTCAGAGAGTGTTTATAAGGAGATGACAAGTTAAGTAGAGCCTTCTTATGTAATAAATCCATGCCAGGCGTGTTGAAAAATCAAGACAAAGGCTTATCTCATTTAGATACTAACTTGTCTCTGGGTGACATTATGCCATACTGAACTTATGACGTAGCATAATTGTTTTATGCTAAAAATTAATGCTTTATTCAGCTTTCACAATACACAGTGGGAAAAGTACGTGTCAAAGCTTTCTTAACATGGATTTTAAAGGTCTTGTGATACTGGTGCTTTATAGTTTGACTGAGAATCTATGGCTTGCTTTTAATGCTCTTACTAGTACTGAAATCCTCTCTGGTTTTTGTTCAATGTAGCTGAATGCAACAGCCACACTTCTCCTTCCCCTGGTATCCAAGTAAGGCACGTTTATACTCCATCAACTACTAAGCATTTCTCACCAATAAAACAATCAACTACACTAACTAACAAACACAGGGGAAATGAAGTCTCTACAACACCTCTACTTGTAAACTGTAAGTATCTTTCTTCCTTTCTATTAATAATTATATTATTAATATGAACTATATTAATTATGAACTATATGTTGGATGCTTGACAAATTTGCAGTTTTTTCTTTGGTGTTAACAATGAACTTAAAAGTAGGAAAAAAACACTGAGCCTTGTCTAATTTCACATGGCTCCAGCCATAAAATAGTCATCCACCTGATGTATGGAGTCTATGACTGAAGTTTATTTTCCAGAAAAACCCTTACCTATACTTTTTAGATCAAAAATTAGATTCTAAGGTGTAAGTTAATGTACTTCATGCCCATGTTTTCAGAACTTGTGTATCTTAAAATTAGATGATTGGTAAATGCTGCAGAATACTTATGATATAATGTAAATATAGATTACTGCAAGTGTCATGATTGTCACAGATTTTGAAAATCAAGGAAGCATTATTTCTGGTGGGTTTTCTTTCTGAATTGTCAAGCATTGCGTTTTTAAATTAATTTGCTGTAATTTACTTTCTCAGGAGATAATTTTCTCTATAAATTTCAAGTCAATTTTTTTAAAAGAAAAATGCTGCTTGCATGGAAAAAATTAATCCAGTGTAGGCCATGGAACAAAATATGCCATCTTTCTGAACAAACTCAACTTTCATCTGGTGACTTGGAGGAGGACTGAATATTTATGATTAATGTAATCATTAGCTAATTTTGTTGCTACATCATGTGGGTAATTTATTATATTTGGCCTCCTGATTACCTTTCAGGCCTGCTCCAAATTGCAGTTATCAAAACCATATACCCATTCAGTTTTCTGTGGGATTGGAGGTTATTCATTATCTCTGAAGTAACAAAAAAAATCCTGCAGTCTTTGTTTTCCTCTCTATATATCAAGTTGTTTGTAGTTTTGTAATATCTGATCTATTCCACGTTGTAGTGAGTGGGAGTCACACTAAAGGCTTTCTTTGTTGACTAGTAGGACAGGTCTTCTGGTGATTCAAGTGTGATTTTTAAATTAAACATCCTTAATTTTTCTAAATATGTTTATCTTCACGTAATAAATTTGTCTTAAAGTAATCTTGGGTTGCTGACCAAACAGCAGTGAACACAGCATGTTACTTTGTAAGGAGTCAGTGTGGGAAGTATGCTTGCTTTCAAGAATGACTGCTGCATTGGTTTAAAAATTACCTAAATCTATGAAACTCTTCAGAAAATTTTCAGTGTTTAATTGTGATTTAAGTTCAGACTGTAAGGTAAAATCATTTACACTCTCAATTCCAAGTTCTGTACTGCTGAAGCCAATGGACATGCTATGCTCAGCTCTAAATAGTGCAAAATGATAACTGGTGTATGTAACACAGCTTTTGCTTCCTTTTTTGCAGCTTTATCTGTTCATCAGCTGGCTGCTCAGGGAGAAATGTTATATCTGGCCACACGTATTGAACAAGGTGAGACAGAAGGAGGTTAAATGCCTTCTTTTTTTCTTTGGGTCATTTATGTGCTGTTGTGTTTGACAGCCTTTTCACCAAGGCTATAAAGTCCTCAGTTCTGGTACAAATTGGAGGACATTTTAGGTATCTGTTCTTTGCAGATGTGGACTAATGTTTTATGTCAATCTATTACTTACTCACTGTATCATTTGCATTTTTAAATTAAAACATTAACGTAAATAGCAGTAGGTAAATCCCTGTTCTCTAGCTAT